CAGGCGGGCAGTGGCGGTGGCAGCTGGGAGAGGCGCCATCCCGGTCCCAACCCGCTCGACCCGCAGGACCCCAGCCCCGACGCCTACTGCAACCTGGTCATCCTGGCTGTAGCCAACAGGGTGAGCCCGAGGACAGCCCGCTCCCAATGCCCGGCTCGGGAACGCTGTTTTCCCCCTACCTTGCCCCCGCCCCACCCACCAGGTTCCTGGGGTCTGCCCCTGCCTTTTCCCTGCACCTACCTCACCTAATGGCTCCTAAACTCCGGACCTGGACACCTCCAGGGCATCTCCCCTTGACTCCTTCAATGGGACGAACTCTCAAAATGGCCAAAACAAACTAGACCCAACCTCCAGTCCGTTCGTTCTCCAGCGTTGTCAGTGTTGGCCCCACCACAGTAACATTCACGAGGACACTAATCACCAGCTTGAATCGAGGGCCAGTTCCTGCCAGACACAGGGCTGCATCAACTCATTTAATTCTCACAGCAACCTCTGGAGGCAAATATTACAACTACTGTATCCCCATTCTATGGAGAAGGAAACTGAGATCCGTAGGTGGCAAGGTCACACAGGAAGCATGTGGTGGTTTTAAGGTTCAAATCCAGGAAATTCAGAGCCAGTACTCTTGGTAACTAAGACAGTCACCCAAGGCAGAAGCCTTCCTGCCATTCTTCCTTCTCCTTCCATCTTCCCCTCTTCCTCCCCCATCCTCTTCATTCACCCTTGCTTTTATTCATCCAAACATGTTTATTGAGTGCCAGCTCTGGGCGAGGCAATGGGCTAGGTGCTATGGATACAGACGTGAAAAAGACATCTGGTGTCCACCCTTAGGGAGATCACAGTCGAGCAGACACCTTCAATTTCTGAGCATTCTAAGCTTTTCCTCTGATCTTGGACCACCAGATCCCTCTGTATAAAAACAGTGGTGAATGAAACAGACATAGTTCCTATCTAGATGGTGAGGCAGATAATAACCAGTAAACTCAGACGCCACAGCTGTCTCTCTCCCCTTGAAACACTTCCTCACTTGGCTTCCAGCTCTCCACTTTCTCCAGGCTTTTCTCCTACCTAGCTGGTTCCTCCTCTTCTCCAGAAGTTGGAGTGCCTCAGATTATGTTCTTGATCCTCTTCCCTCCTCCATCTATCCGTCATCTACCCATTTCTAGGTGATCTGCATCTGAAGATCTAATGACTGTTTCAAACCCAACACATCCAAAGCTGAGCTCCAAGCTCCTCCCCCAAACCCGCTACTCCCTTGATTTCCCTGTCACAATTGATAGCAGCTGTGTCCTTACATTGGTCAGGCCAAAACCTTGCAGTGGGCCTTGGCTGCCTCTAGTGCTCTCTATCTTTCTCACACACACCCGATATCCACTCTGTCGATAAATCCTGTTGGCTCTATTTTTCAAACATAACCAAGCCTGTAATCCCAGCACTTTGGGAGGCGAAGGTGGGTGGATCACCTGAGTTCAGGAGTTAATAAGGCCAGCCTGGCCAACATGGCGAAATCCCATCTCTACTAAAAATACAAAAATTAGCCAGGCTTAGTGGCCGGTGCCTTTAATCTCAGCTACTCAGAAAGCTGAGGCATGAGAATCACTTGAACCTGGGAGGTAGATGTTGCAGTGAGCCAAGATCACACCACTGCACTCCAGCCTGAGCAATAGAGCAAGACTCCATCACAAAACAAAACAAAAAAAACATCAAAATCCATTTACTTCTCCCCACCCTCCCCCTGTACCCACCCAGGTTCATGCCCTGTTTTCTTTCACCTGAATCTTGTGGTCACCCTCTGACTGGTTCAGCCCTCGCTGACAGTCTTCCCCCACACAAAGTGGTCCCATTAACATGTAAGTCACATCATGTCCCTAACTCCACATCCTCCAGTGGCTTCCCATTTCACTCCAAGTAAAAGCTAACATCCTTACAATTGCTTACAAGGCCATTTGTACTCCAGCCACCATGCCCACTTCCTCTGTGGCTGGAAATAGGATTCCAGACAAAGCCAACAGTGTGCCCTGTTCATCCCACTGGACTGTGAGGGCTTTTGGGTACTGAAGCTGGCCCAGTGCCGGCCACACAATAGGACTAAGTTGGAATTTGTGAAGTGAGTAAATAAGTGTAATCCCAGCACTTTGGGAGGCCAAGGCAGGCAGATCACTAGAGTCCAGGAGTTCCGGACCAGCCTGGGCAACATGGCAAAACCCCATCTCTACTAAAAATACAAAAAATTATCTGGGTGTGATGGTGTGTGCCTGTCACGCAGCTACTCAGGAGGCTAAGGTGGGAGGATCGCCTGAGTTCAGGAAGTTGAGGCTGCAGTGAGCCATCATTGTGCCACTGGGTGACCGGAGTGTGACTCTATCTCAAAAAAAAAAAGTTGCTTTCCAGGGTTGCCTGAGCATCTGGCTTCTTATCTGAGTCATCCTGGTTCCAAGGAGGATATAGGAGTTAGAGTGAAACAAAACTTGGGTGCTGGTACTAATGCCATGAACCTGCTGTGTGAGCCTAGGCAAGTCACTTAACCACTCTAAGTCTCAGCATCTTTGATTATAAAATAAGGATCCTCTTTGCCCTGTCCATTTTGTAGGTTTATGGTAAGGATCAGTCCTGGTTTAATTATTAGGACACACCCACTATCCCAAAATGCCTATCCTGAGTTACATTTTAATTTATTCTTTGGACTTTTTCATTTTTATTTTTTGTATCCAACCGTCCATTAGCTTGGGCCTTTTTAGAGACACAACCTAGAGAAAAACTTCATGAAGACAGTCTCTTCATCAATTACTGGCTTTCTATGTGTCTTGCTTAAGGCATAAAGAGGTAAATTCCTATTCAAATTTGCAGTCTCAAAAAGAGTTTTACCCAATAACTGAAACTCTTTCCTTCTATCAGAGACTGAATTTTATTTACCCTGCTTCAATTTTCACACTGAATGCTAGGAAGCTCATATCTAAATATGGCTTCCAGTGTTAGTAACTATATTGAGCCTAAAATTTTGATACATTTAATCATCCCTTCTCCTACTAGCTCTTAGGAGAACTGGATTCTAATCCTGACTAATCACTTCCCCTCACTGGGCCTCAGTTTCCATACCTATACATTAAACTAAATTAGGACTTAGAAGGGCATCAGGAAGGCTGATGAATCCTCCAGAAATCTGGGGTACATTTTTCATGGCACAAGAGTTAGAGTTGTCACTGAATTCTATAAAGGGGTTCTAAGATCCAGAGAGTAGCCATAGAATTTTGATGGAAAAAGTCTCAAAAGCCAATTTAAAGGGCTCTATAGATGTGTATCTTTGTGCACATCTTCACACTGTGTTTTAGGAAGCAGGGGTAACATCTTGGTCGTTGGTGAGGACCTGAGCTCTCTATCCTCCTCCCTGGGCCAGGACGCTGCAGAGGAGTCCTGCGCACTCATCTGTCAGGTCTTCCAGATCATCTATGGGGACCAGAGTATTGAGTGTGTGGACCGGGCTGGCTACCACTACACATCCACGCCCGAACGGCCGTGGCTCTGCAGCCGCAGTGAGTACCAGAACTCCTGGCCTCCCCTCCTGTGAAACATCCCAAAAAGGCCAGGGGAGGGAAGATGTCCCAGGACTTGGGGTTGATGAAGGTCTTTAGGGTTCCTGATCTCTGCCGCAATTACAGGTGAAATGTAATTGTAGGTGAAATGTCAATTTTTTTTTTCTTTTCTTTTCTTTTCTTTTTTTTTTTTTTTTGAGGCGGAGTCACTCTCTGTTGCCCAGGCTGGAGTATAGTAATGCAATCTCAGCTCACTGCAACCTCCACCTCCCCGGTTCAAGCAGTTCTCTGCCTCAGCCTCCCGTGTAGCTGGAATTACAGGTGTGTGCCACCACGCTTGGCTGTTTTTTTTTGTTGTTGTTGTTGTTGTTGTTTTTTTTTTTTTTTTAGAGACAGGGTTTCACCATCTTGACCAGGTTGGTCTTGAAGCCCCTGACCTCATGATCCACCTGCCTCAGCCTCCCAAAGTACTGGAATTATAGGCGTGAGCCACTGCACCCAGCCATCAGTTTTCATCATGATCTCAAACTTAGCTTTTTCAAAGATGTTTGGATTGCCAAATTCAGAACAAGCCCCCTAGAGTTGAACTCTTCTCTCCCCCTTTTGTTTTTGTGTCGCTGTATTGCAGAAACCTAAGCACATGTATCGTCTGTTTACTGAGCCATTGATCCCACTAAGACCCTAAGGCCAAACAAAGATTTCCAGATGGGTCCTTGATACACTCAAGGACTAGAAGGAGAATGAGATCAACAGAGGCATGTGTTGAGCACCAGTTGTGTGCCAAGCACCATACCAATGTGCCATGTCCTCATAGCAACCTTGTCTGTCCTGAGACTGGGTACATCAGATACTCACAAAGTATTTTTTTGAAGGCATGAAAGAACTCTGTGAGGCCTTAGGATTACAGTTTTGTTTGTTTGTTTGTTTGTTTGTTTGTTTGTTTTGAGATGGAGTCTCACTCTGTTGCCCGGGCTGGAGTGCAGTGGCGCAATCTTGGCTCACTGCAACCTCCACCTCCCAGGTTCAGGCGGTTCTCCTGCCACAGCCTCCTGAGTAGCCAGGATTACAGGCGTGTGCCACTATGCTCAGCTAATTTTTGTATTTTTAGTAGAGACGGGGTTTCACCGTGTTAGTTGGCCAGTATGGTCTTGATCTCTTGACCTCGTGATCTGCCTGCCTCAGCCTCCCAAAGTTCTGGGATTACAGGCATGAGCCACTGTGCCCAGTCAGGATTACAGTTTTACAGATGAGGACATTAAGGCTCAGATTAGTTAATAAATTACTCAAGGTCACACAGCTGGTAAGTGGCAGAGTGAGGATTCAAACCCAGGTCTGTCTGATTCTGAAGCTTCTATCAGCAACAACCTCACTCCCCATGCTGCCTTCAGGCCCATGGGTGAATTCCCCCAGCCACTGTCTCCCACAGCATGGTACCAGCAACAGAGTGCTGGTTCTTTTCTTCCGAAGACCCTTGCATCTGTGGGAGCTGTGCTTGTTGGGAAGCTGGGTTAGTTCAACTCTCACAAGGATGATGGGCAGATACATTAGATAATTCAACAAATATTTCAACAAATTCATTCATTTAGCAAATATTTATTGAACACCTAGTAAGTCAGATCCAGTGCTAATCCGTAGGTTATTCTGGTGAGCAAAACCAGAGGTGGCCCTGTCTTCATGAAGTTTACTTAGTGGAGGCAGGCTGACAGTAATTAAATAAGTACACAAATAAATATATGACCGCAGGCCGCACAGGTGACTCACGCCTATAATCCCAGCACTTTGGGAGGCCAAGGCAGGTGGATCACCTGAGGTCAGGAGTTCGAGACTAACCTGGCCAACATGGTGAAAATCCGTCTCTACTAAAATTACAAAAATTAGCTGGGCGTGGTGGCAGGCATCTGTAATCCCAGCTACTCGGGAGGCTGAGGCAGGAGAATCAACCGAACCTGGGAGGTGGAGATTGTAGTGAGCAGAGATTGCGCCACTGCACTCCAGCCTGGGCGACAAGAGTGGAACGCTGTCTCAAAATAAATAAATAACCACAGACTGTGCCGGGAGAACGTATAATGAGGAACTCACCCCACCTGGAGGGTAAGGAAGTGACACTGAGTGATCAGAGATCAGAAAGGGTAGGGCTAATAACCAGCTAAATGAGACCAGGACTAGGAAGAGCACAAGCTCTCCATACTTGGTGTTTCTTTGCTCTGAAGATTTTCAGATCCTTCCCCTTCACAAATTTCTTCCTTCCTTCCTTCCTTCCTTCCTTCCTTCCTTCCTTCCTTCCTTCCTTCTTTCCTTCCTTCCTTCCTTCCTCCCTTCCTTCCTCCCTTCCCTCTCCCCTCCCTCCCTCCCTCTCTCTCTCTCTTTCTTTCTCTCTCTCTCTTTTTTTTCCTTTCCTTTCCTTTCTTTCCTTCTTTTCTCTTTCTTCCTTTCTTTCTTCCTTTTCCGGGTCTTGTTCTGTCACCCAGCCTGGACTATAGTGGTGCAATCATGGCTCTCTGCAACCTTGACCTCCCAGGCCCAAGCAATCCTCCTATGTCAGCCTCCCAAGTAACTGGGACCACAGGCGTGCACTGCCACACCCAGCTAAATTTGTTGTTGTTGTAGAAATGGGGTCTCTCTATGTTGTCCAGGCTGGTCTTGAATTCTTGGGCTCAAGCAGTCCTCCTGCTTTGGCCTCCCAAAGTGCTGGGATTACAGGTGTGAGCCACAAATTTTTTTTTCTTTTTTCTTTTTTTTGTCTTGCCTGAAACACACAGTTTATAAAATATTCCCTCACATGTTTCCTCATCTGCTGTTCCCAAGGCCCCCCGTGAGGTAGGCAGGGGGTGGTATTGTCCCCATGTCGGGGAGGTTGAGGATCAGGAGAGGGGAGGGGAGTTCCCCAGGGTCTGCTGTGTGTTGGTGTCAGGGGCAGGACTAGACTTCAGGCTGAGACTGAGGGCGGGGCCTCAGGGAGCAGGGGATGCTGATCCCTGCTTTGCTGCCTCTCACACTCCCTCTGTCTGCTGGTCCTAGGTGAGAGCTGCCGCACAGATGGAACGTACGCCTATGATGCCGACTTCAGCTGCTGCAGCTCCTTGTGAGTATAGCCCCTGTCAGGGACTCCACCCTGCTCCCCTACCCCTGCACAAACAGGGTCACTAGTCTAGAGAGGGTAGGAGAAGGTGACCCAACCTTGATGTGTGCTGAGACACTGGGCACTAACAGGGGGAGGTAAACTGAGCTCCCTGACTCTGGAAACTCACAGGATCTAGGCCCCTGAGAGACCCACGAGACACCAGAACTCAGATGTGGGTCCACACAGGCCTGTGGTTCTCTCCTAGTCATCCAGGCACAGTGGCCTGCAAACACCAAAATCATAGATAGCTACATGCCAAAAAAATCATTTTGGCTTAATTTTGGTTCCATGTAATGGAAAACTCCCAAAAAGAGTATCTTAAACAAGATAGAACTTTTTTTTTCTTATCTTTGACACAAAATAGAGCAGCAATTCAACATTTCATGGTTGTTAGGAGTTCAGGCTTCTCTTTTCCTCCCCCTTCAGGACTTGCAGCCATCCTCAAGGTCACCTCATGGACCAAGATGGTGGTTGTAGTTCCAGCCATCACAGTAGCATGCTAGGGGCCTCTTTAAAGAGTTCTGCCAGATTCCCACCTGATGACTTCTGCTTATATGTCATAGGCCAGAACTTTGTTACATAGCCATCACTAACTGCAAGCAAAGCTGGAAAATTTAGGATTAAAAATATATATATTTCAGGCTAGATGCAGTGGCTCACACCTGTAATCCCAACACTTTGGGAGGCTGAGGCAGGTGGATCGCTTGAGCCCGGGAGTTCCAAACCATCCTGGGCAACATGGCAAAACCCCGTCTCCACCAAAAATACAAAAATTAGCCAGGTATGGTGGCCCACACCTGTGGTCCCAGCTGCTTGGGAGGCTGAGGCAGGAGAATGGCGTGAACCCAGGAGGTGGAGCTTGCAGTGAGCTGAGATTGCGCCACTGCACTCCAGCCTGGGCGACAGAGCAAGACTCCATCTCAAAAATAAAATAAAATAAAATAAAATTAAATTAAATTAAATTAAATTAATAAATTCAGGCCAGTTGCGGTGGCTCACACCTGTAATCCCAACACTTTGGGAGGCCAAGGCAGGAGGATCACATGAGCCCACAAGTTTGAGACCAGCCTGGGCAACATAGGGAGACCTTGTCTCTATTTAAACAAACAAACAAACAAATAAATAAAATGTTAAACAATTCAGTTGGGAACATTACCCAAGGTTCTGTTTAGGATGACCAGCCATCCCAGTTTGCTCAGGAATGAAGGGTTCCCCGGGATATGGGATTTTCAGTGCTAAAACCAAGAAAGTCCTGGGTTACTGGTTGATCACCTAGTCACGTTACTAAGGGCTTCGGTTTGGCATGTAGCAGCCTCTGCCAGTGATATATCCCTTACTGTGTTTTCCTTTTTAGTGGCAATAGATTTGCCTTCCTCATACTGTGTGCCCTTAGGCTAGTCTTTAAACAACCAGATATCTACTGGAGAGATAAAATAATGATAATAGCGTTTGAACATTGAGCTTGCTATGTACTAAGTGCTGTTCTATAAAGCACTTTATTTTTTCATCAATATAGTAACATTACAGCAGTTACTGTTTATTGCTTGTAGCCCATAATTCTAAGTGTTCTACAAATACTCCTCTAATTCTCATGATGACACCAATTATTATTATCCCATTTTACAGATGGAAAAACTGAGAAATAGAGAAATTAAGTTTAGTTTTCCCAAGGTCAAGCACCTAGTAAGTTGTAGGTCTGGGATTTGAACAGAAGAAGGCTGGCTCCAGAGTCCAGTCCCTTAACCACAAAGCTACACTGCTTCTTTGTAGCTAATAATGGAGGATGGGTCTGGAACAATTTGGAGACAAGGAGGCAGGAGCCCAAGGTTGAATTTTTATTAAGCAATATTTCTTGAGTACCTTCTATGTGCCAGGCACTGCGCTGTATGCTGGGGATACAGATGGACATAAGACAGAGGGCAAAACCTGGGCCTGTCACGTAGTAGGTGTTCAACAAATGAAGAAAACCAAGGTTCCTGCTCTTGTGAAGTTTACAATCTAGCATGAGAGGCAGTGAAATCACAATTTAACAGTAACAATCATTAATGATAATAAGTACTAAAGGGAGGCTCAGGGTGTTATAAGAGAGGCTGAGGGGGACCCCAACTCAGCTGGAGAGTCAGGAGGGCCTCTCAGAGGTGATGGCACACGAACTGAGGCCTGGAGGATGAAAGGGGGAAGAGCGTCCCAGGTAGAGGGAAGAGCAAATGTAAGACTCCTGAGCTGACCAGGTGTGGTGGCTCACGCCTGTAATTCCAGAACTTTGGGTAGCTGAGGTGGGCAGATTGCTTGAGGTGAGGCATTTGAGAGCAGCCCGGACAACATGGTGAAACCCCGTCTCTACAAAAACTACAAAAATTGGCCGGGTGGCACATGCCTGTAGTCCCAGCTACTCAAGAGGCTGAGGCATGAAAATCGCTTGAACCCGGGAGGCAGAGGCTGCAGTGAGCTGAGATCGCACCACTGTACTAGAGAGACTCCATCTCAAAAAAAATCTGTCTCCAAAAAAAAAAAAAAAAAAAAAATTCTGAACAGGATAGAGCTTAGTGGGTTTGAGGAGCAGCAGGTGGCCACTGTGGCTGTGGCAAATGGTGTGAGGGAGAGACTGGTCAGAGAGGATGCTTGGGGGTACCTGGAAAGGCCATGCATGTCACAGGTAGGCCATAGACTGAGGGAGCACCTTCGACAGAGGTTCTAACCCAACCTAGGGGAATTAGGGATCACTCTCCTGAGGAGATGACATTTAAGATCATGAGATAAGTACGAGTTCGCTGAGCAAAAGGGAGGGGAAAGGAGGCAATCTAGGCAGAGGGAACAGCAGGTGCAAACACCTAGAGGTGAGGAGATAGTAGAGGAAGAAGGAGAAAGGGAGCGGGGGGCACAGCACAGAGAGCAAAGGCAAGCACAGTGAGAGATGAGGCTTGAGAGGTGCCAGGGGCCAGGGTGTGCCAGGCCTTGGAGGCCAGCGTGCAGTCTAGGATGAGGCCTCCTACCTTCAGCCTGCCCGAGGGCGAGGAGCTGGAGGGAGACGAGTGAAGGCCCTTCTTCCTGCGCCTGCAGCAATGGCTCCCAGGACACCTTTGAAGCATGTTACAGCGGCACGTCCACACCTTCTTTTCACGGCTCCCACTGCAGCGGCAGCGACCACAGCGGTCTGGGCTTGGAGCAGTTACAGGATTACATGGTCACGGTGAGCTGGGGCTGGCGGTGGGAATGGCACAAGCAAAGTCCTGGAGGCTGGAGTAAACATTTTGGGAATTGCACATTGCCGTGGACATAACCTAAGTAGAAGACCTCAGAGGTCAGAGCAGGAGATGAGGTTAGGAGAGTAAACTGAGGCCAGCTTGTGAAACGCCTTAACTAATGTCAGCTGGCATTAATTGAGTGCCTGCTGTGTACCAGGCACCGTTCTAAGCACCTTTCATGCATTATTTCTTTTAATATTTTCAACAACACCAAGAGGAAAATGCCATCGTTATCCTCACTTTGCAGATGAGAAAGGCAAGCATCATGGAGGCTGTCAACTATCCAAGATCACAGAGCTGATTCAGCGAAGGGGTCAAGATTTGCACTCAGCAGCTTGAGTCCACATCCTATTCTTAGATACAACCTAAGGGATCTAGATGTCCTCTGAGTAGCCCATGGGAAGGTTTTCAGAGGAGAGCTGGGCCAAACATGCCCTTAGGGAGGGCTCTGGGCCTTTCAGGCAGGGGTTGGGTGGGGCTGCTCCCTGGGATTGATCTTGAATGGTGTCCCTCACATAGTTGCGGAGTAAGCTGGGGCCCCTCGAGATCCAGCAATTTGCACTGCTGCTGCGGGAGTACCGGCTGGGGCTGCCCATCCAGGACTATTGCACAGGCCTGCTGAAGCTCTATGGAGACCGGCGCAAGTTCCTCCTCCTCGGTGAGCGCCCCCTGCACCCCCAGAGGTCAGCTAGGGCCCCTGCTTGGTCCTTGCCATCCCAGTCAGGCACGTGGGTGTGAATGTTTTCTCCTTATCCTTCAGCCTCTGATGAAACCCAGATCATGAGATTCGCAGGGCAGATGAGGAGCTCAAGGTGCAGAGTAGGGAAAGCACTTGTCAGTGCTGGGAGACACTGTTGATAAGAAGAACTAAGCAGTGGTGTGGCCATTTCATCTGCACAGCAAAGCTGGGAGAGGGACTGATTCTTCCCCATCTTACCCCATGCAGAAGCTGAGGCTCAGAAAGGCTAAAGAACATGTCCAAGGTCACACAGCTAGTAAGGAGGGCTAATCATAGGAGGAATAGTACGAATAAGCTGACATGTGCTTGGCAGTTACCATATGCCAAGCATCATCTCATTGAATGCCCCCAGTTCTGAGAAGTAGATACTATTATTGGTCCCCATTTTGCAGGTGAGGAAACTGAGACTCAGAGTAACAAAGTAAAGGACTGAGGTCACATAGCTAGTAAGTAGGAATGGAAATAAAACAAACTGTTTACAGGGTGCTCAGTATGTGCTGAGTACCTTGTTATTTAATCCTCACATCCCTACCCAGAGAACAGGTGCAATTATCTCAGTTTTACAGGTCAGGAAAATGAGGTTCAACATAATTAATCAATGGGAATGTAATGATGGTACTAATAATAACAACAAAAATAGGCCTGGCAAGGTGGCTCACACCTGTAATCCCAGCACTTTGGGAGGCTGAAGCTGGCGGATCACTTGAGGTCAGGAGTTCAAGACCAGCCTGGCCAACATGAAACCCTGTCTCTACTAAAAATACAAAAATTAGCAGGGCGTGGTGGTGTGCGCCTGTAATCCCAGCTACTTGGGAGGCTGAGGCATGAGAATCGCTGAACCCAGGAGGCGGAGGCTATAATAATAATAAAAGTACAGTAATGTAGTATGTAGTGAGCATTCACTGTGTGCTAAGTGCTGTGCTATTATTCGCTGGCTCAGAGTTAAGGACCTTGGGCAAGGCCACACAGCCAGTGAGTGACAGCAGGGATTTGCACCCTGATCTGCAGAGAGGACGCTTCACCTGTGGGAGGGAAAGGGGCCGTGCCCTGAGGACTCACCACATCCCTCGGCTCACAGGGATGCGGCCCTTCATCCCGGACCAGGACATCGGCTACTTTGAGGGCTTCCTGGAGGGCGTGGGCATCCGCGAGGGCGGCATCCTCACTGACAGCTTCGGCCGCATCAAGCGCAGCATGAGCTCCACGTCGGCCTCTGCGGTGCGCAGCTACGATGGCGCGGCGCAGCGGCCCGAGGCACAGGCCTTCCACCGGCTGCTGGCTGACATCACACACGACATCGAGGCGCTGGCCCCCGATGACGACGATAACGACGACGATGAGGAGGATGAGCCCCGGGGCTCCAGGGGTGGGAGCGACGCTGCCGAAGACAACTACCTGTAGCCACCGCCCCTGCGGACGGTGTGGCCCCGCAGCCCACCTCCGAGTCTCAGCTTTGCCTGGGCGACCCTATCCCCGGGGGAGACCCTGTCCCCAGGGCCCGCTCATCACACCTGGCGGGGGCGGGGGTGTCTTCACTCCAGGGTCTCGCTCCCTGCCTTTGGGGCCCGGGACCCTGCAGTACCGAGAGTGTCCTGCAGCGGGTGAGCGAAGCCGGGCCCTAAAGACCGGGGCAGTCACCCGGGGCTCCCGTGCCGCTCTGCCAGGCTGGGGCTGGGCAGCGATCCCCAGAAGCCCAGAGGGGTCGGCCCCAGAACACCTCCTCCCGGGGACGCCGCAGCTTTCTGGAGGCTGAGGAAGGCATGAAGAGTGGGCTCCACCTGCTGGCAGACTGAGAAAAGAATTTCCAGAATTGGATCCTATTTTACAGATCGGAAAACTATGGTTCAAAAAGAGGGGAAAGGGCTTGAGGGAATCTCCTGATTCTCCTTATATGACCTCAAACTGACCATACTAAATAGTGTAGAAGGTCTTCTTAAGGCTCTAAATGTTAGGGTCTCCCGTCCCCTGATGCCTGACTTGTACAGTCAGTGTAGAGTAGACGGTTTCCTCCACCCAGGGTTGACTCGGGGGCGATCTGGGTCCCATTCTGGCCTCAAGACCCCAAACAAGGTGTCCGTTCAACTCTTGGATTTGGAGCCAGGCCGACCTGGAGCCTCTGTCTGGTTAGTGTCATAACCTCTGTGTGCTCCCGTTTCCCCACCTGTCCAGTGAGCTCAGCCCCCATCCACCTAACAGGGTGGCCATAGGGATTACTGAGGGTTAAGACCTTAGAGCTGAGTCTAGCACATGATAAGTGCTCAATAAATATTCCTTTCCACATCAAACATTTTCTGATTCAGTTTACCTTTCTTGCCTGGTAATAAGCAAAAGATGTCTGGGTGCATCTTACTGCAACTGAGGTGGGGGTGAGCTATTCAGAAGACCCTCAGGGGAGCTCACTGTTTGGGAGGAAGAAACGATACTTGTCCCCTTGCAGCCTTGTTACAGCCTAGCTCTGTGCTCAAGTCCCAAACCAGAAATAGCCAAGACTCCATAGGCAGCCATCTGGGAGTCTGGGGTAGCCAAAGAAATATGAAGGCAAAGTTGGAGAGGTAGAGAAGTCAGGATGAGGACAGCATTCAGCACAGCCTGAGTAAAGGCTGGAAAGCTAAAAGGAACGAGGCCTGAGAGGAGACCAGAGACCCACACAGGAGAGCCAAAATGTGTTTGTAAAACCTTGCAAAGGCTTCCATGGCCAGACACATTGTACACACCATAAAATAGGTACTGTTAGCAATTTTCAAAAAATATTAGGACTCCAGGTCCAAAGAGTTCCATAATTCATACTTGGTTTGTGGTAAATGATCATCCCATTATCACTGGTCCATGTAGGGCCCTTCTGATGTTTTCCCCTCTCCCAATCCACATGTTCCCCACACTCCTTTTCCCTCTTTACCATGAACATCTAACCCTATGTGCTGATATATGTCCCTGGACCTAAACTACACAGTGCTTTGTGTGTGTGTTTGCATAAATGGTATATATAAGAATTTCATTCTATTGCTTCTTTTATTCTGTAATTTTTTTAATTTAAAAAAATAAAATTTTTAGAGACAGGTTTTTTCTCTGTCACCCAGGCTGGACTGCAATGGTGCAATGACAGCTCACTGCAACCTCGAACTCCTGGGCTTAAGTGATCCTCCCACCTCGCCCTCCCAAAGTGCTGGGATTAATGGTTGAACCACCATGCCCAGCCACCCGAAAATGTTTTAAATACCTACCTATGTTGCTGTTGAAAAATCTCGCTGTTGCATCCAACTGTTGCAAAATATTTCAAGCTGAGCATCCACTGTTTTCTTTATCCATCTCCCCAGAGATGAACACCCAGGTTGCTTCCAACTCCCTCTTCACCACAAACAACACTGTGATGAACATTTTTGTACATGAAACTTATGGGCCTATGTGAGCATTTCTTTGGGCTCTAAACCCAAGAGTGGAATTACTAGATCACAGGCAGGTTTTTACATTTCATTAACTTCTTCCAGAATGGCTTTCACCAATAGTGAGTGAAGGATGCTGTTTCCCCACATCTTCATCAGGTTTTTCATTATCTGATTTTGTTTTTATCTGCCTTCAGTTTGGGTGTAAGGTGGCAAGTTGTTTTAATTTGCATTTCTCTGTTAATCCTGAAATTATAACTTCCTCCTGTACTTGTCAGCCATTTGTGCTTTCCTTTCTGTGACTTCCTTATTCATATCTTTTGTTCATTTCTTACTGGGCTTCCTGTCTTTTTCTCATTGATTTGCAAGAGTAGCTTATAAATTTTACATATTAATCCCTTTTGGATGTTGATGTTCCAGGTATATTCACCTAATATATTTGCTTTCTGTCAAGTTTATCTGTGGCAGTACTCAAACTTCAGCAGGCATCAGAATCTCCTGGAAGGCTTGCTAAAACACAGATGTCTGAGCCCCACTCCTAAAGATTCTCCATAAGAGAAGGGGAAGGGCCTGAAAATTTGCTTTTTCTTTTTTGTGGGGACAGAGTCTCGCTCTGTCACCCAGGCTGGAGTGCAGAGACGCAATCTCAGCTCACTGCAACCTCTGTGCCTCAGCCTCCCGAGTAGCTGGGATTACAGGTGTGCGCCACCATGCCTGGCTAATTTTTGTATTTTTAGTGGAGATTGGGTTTCACCATGTTGGCCAGGCTGGTCTTGAACTCCTGACCTTAGGTGATCCACCCGCCTTGGCCTCCCCAAGTGCTGGGATTACAGGCATGAGCCATCGTGCCCAGCCAATAATTTGCATTTCTAGCAAGTACCCAGGTGATGCTGATGGTCCAGGGACCACTCTGAGAACAACTGATTTGTGATGGCTTCCATTGGATAAACTTGTCCTATTGAGCAAATTCCTTAATTTTGAGGTTGTCGATTTTATTTCTTTTCATTTTCAGGATGAAGGAACTGGAGTTCAAGAGGTGAAGTGAATATCCCAAGGTCACACAGTGAGGTGGGCTTTGGACTTGTCTGGCTAACCCAGAGCCCATGCCCCTAGCTTCTCTACTGTCCCGTCTCTGAGACTTTGGGATGTAGTGGCCATAGCCTGAGGCATTTGGACCTGAGGCTACAGGGAGCCTTAGTAAGTTCCTGAGTGAGGCAGCAGGAGAGGCAAAAGTTGGTTGAGTAGGGACAGGGGCCAAAGGTATAGGAATACCTCTTAAAGGCCTTGGGGCTTTGCAAGAAAAGCTCAGAAACTGCCCAAAGTCCTAGCCAGAGCACAGTGACAGGGCTGCTGAGAAGCACTGGGACAGACAGTTCTTACCCCACAGCTCCAGGGATGGGGCAATTTCCCTCACACCCCAAGGAAGTCCCCACCCATTCCGGAACTACCTTCTTACCAAAGCCATGTAACCCCTTAGTTTCTGGGGTCCAGAGGGCACTGGCTAGGGCAAGCCAGGCACTGAGTATGGAGACTCTGGCCACACTTCCTCCTGTAGCATCTAGAGACCCTGCCAAGAATTGCTTCCCTTCTTGGTTCAGTTCCTGACATCACAAGAGGGGAAACCCCCCTAGGGGTGGGATAGTTGGTTCCCAAGGACTTCTAGGGGTAGTGCAAGTATAGAACTTCCCCACCAGCTGGATCCCCTGGGGATGGTCTTGGCCCAAAGGTGAGTGGTAAAATTGTCTCCAGCTGCCCCTAGATGGACGCCTCTCCCAAGGCGAGGCCCTGAAACTTCCTACCCACTCCCCACTTCCACTGGCAGCTCCCAGCAATCCTTCCCAACTCTGTGCTAAGAAGAAGGAGTCCCGGGGCCACTGTCATTCAGCCGCCAAGCATTTAGAGGGCACTTGCTCTGTGCCAGGCATTGCACAAGACACTAGAGGGAGATACAGCACAGTCTGCCCACTCAGGGGCACACTGATGGGGAAGACAGTCCCCAGATAATCACAGCACAAAGTTCTCAATTGTAAAGTCAAAGAGTGAGACATCAGCTCCTTCTGGCGAAGCTGGGAAAGGTTTCACAGGGGAGGTGACCCATGAGCGAGAGCTTGAAAGACAAGGTTTTGGTGGATGGACAATAGAAGGGAGAGCCCTCCAGATGAGGACCCAGCACAAGCAAAGGCAGGGGAGCTTGAAGGAGCATGGCACACCCAGGACTGGCAAGTGGTTAGCCCTGGTGCAGCACTTAGGCTCCCTGGCCGGAGGGTCGGAGAGTTTTGAATCCGAACTCTGCCATCTGCTTGTCGGGTGACCTTTGGAAAGCCCCTAAAATGTCCCTGGGTCTTGGTTTCCTCATCTGTACAGTGGGGTTGTACATAGATCCCATAGATTGCTGTGAGTCTTAAACAAGATATTTCACGTAAAAGTACATGTAGAAAGGGCTCAGTTAGTGACCGTTGTAATTGCTGGGGGAACACGGAGTGTGTGAGGTGGGAGACAAGGTGGGTGGGTAGGAGTTGCAGGAGAGGAAACCAGAGAAGTGGGTAGATTAGAAGCCCCTTGAAGGGCAAGCTAGGAAGCGCAGGCAATGGGAGGCCATCTAATGTTTGTTGTTGTTGTCATTGTTGTTATTGTTGTTTGAGGCGGGTTCTTACTGTGTCACCCAGCTGGAGTGCAGTGGAACAACCATGGTAGCTCACTGCAGCCTCCAGCTCCTGGGCTCAAGCCATTCTCCCACCTCAGCCCTCAAAGCAGCGGGATTACAGGTGTGCACCACGACGCCTGGCTATTTCTAAAATTTTTTGTAAAGACGGGCTCTCTTTATGTTGCCCAGGATGATCTTGAACTTCTGAGCTCAAGGGATCCACCCGCCTGAGCCTCCCAAAGTGCTGAGATTACAGGCGTGAACCACGGTGCCCTGCCTGGGAACAAGCCAGGGAACCTGCATTTTCTTGAAGCGAATCAAGCTGCTGGAGAGGAGAATCAATAGGAAAACAGAGGAGCGTCTGGAAGCAGCGAAGTGGGGAGGAGGCTGGAACCAGGACCACATGAGAGAGAGACCTGACTGAGCTGGGGTAAGAGGAAGGAAGAGGAGAGAGTAGGTTCAAAGAGGAAGGGAGAGAAAGAGAACTCTGCCTACCCCCACCCCCACCCAGAAATAGTAGCCCCTCACATTCTTTGACCAAATTCATTCATTCATTCATTCATTCATTCATTCATTCATTCATTCATTCCACAACCATTTATTTAGCATTTAAACCCTGGCCTCTTGAAGTTTACATTCTAGGAGTTTATATTACTATTAAATAATGTTACTAGGAGCTTCCAGATGCAGTAACCACCCAATCAGGCCTAAATGGCCAGAAATTGATGGCCCTCTTGGTGGGTCCTCCCACTTGACTTGTTGCTTATCCTCAGGTATTTGAGAGCAGGGGCAGAGGGGTCTTAAAGCCAGGCCAGCCTGTTCTGCCCACTTTCTACCTTGGGGAGTTCACTGTCTCCTGTGGCAGCCCCTTCCATCCAATGCAAGAGCTAATATCCACCTCCTTGTCCCCCCACTCCCTGCCTGCCGTCCCCAGGGCCCACCCCCCGGCTTCTAACATCACCTTTAAGAGCCCTACACAGTATTCCCAATGCCTCAGCCATTGGGCAGCCCTGCAGCAATGTGCAGAAAATGATGCGATCTGCAGAAACTTCTCATTTATATCTAAAAGCAGCCTGTTCTCCTAAAAAAAAAAAATTTCAAAGTCTATCATGCGGACAAAGGGGTAGCGCATTTGATGTATAAAGACCTACAAGTAAATAAGACCAACAACCTAATAGAAAAATAGGCAAATTATTTATACAGACAGTTCACAGAAAATACAAATGACTCTAAAACATGTGACAAGATGTTCAACCTCACT